CCTGAAAACTGAAGGCTCTGCCTCCCATTCTACTTTTAAATACTCTAGGAACAACAAGTAGGCCTGCAGAGCGAGAGCGAAGTGCTCTAATAGGGTGATGTGGTACATGTGATTTCACATATTTGACAGATATTTTCCAGAAGCGTTTTGAATTCATCTAAACAGCCTCTCTGGATTTCCGGTTCGTGAACAGACTACACCCTCTCAAACTAGGCCACACACTGTGTTGCCATCAGGTGTTCGATTTTAATCTGAATATAACTGATGCCTGCTTATCAGACCGCTTCCCTGTCATTTGTATGCACTGCTCCATGTTTCCTGTACCTAACACTGAATTGGACACATTACGCTGATCAGGTTGTATTAATTCCTCTACTGCTAAGAATTTTGGTGAGGCCTTTGAAAGCACCTGCCTCCAGCTCCCTCGCCTTATCAACTTATTTAGCACCACTTGCGCCACAGTTATCGAAACCATTGCTCCGTATAAACTGAGTAAACCCAGGCCTAAAAAGTCACCCTGGATCAGTGACACTGCTGGAGCTCTCAGGACAGATTGTATAAAACCAGAGAGACAGTGAAGGAGGAGCAAGTTTCAAGCTCTGTTTTTAATTTTGTAAAATAACCCAGAAGAAATCTGTAAATCTGCTGTTGTAAATATTTCTTTTACAAAATCACAAAAACCTCCAATAATCCCATTATGAGGATTTTGTTCTCCACCACCAACTCTGTTATCTCCTCCAGTGCCTTTTTAGGATGCCTCTGCTAGTAAAGTTCAGAATATTAGGAGTAGTATTACTACCTCCCCTCACATTTTAACTGATTCTTTCTTCTGATCTGTTTTCAAACCACACTATCCCATCCTTCTTTCATTAAATCCACAACCCATCCACTAGACGCTGGTCCAAGCATTCTCTCAATCATCAACAGTTCTGTCTTTCAGTACTGGTTCAGCTCTCTTCAAGCAGGCAGTTGGACCTCTGATGAAGAACAATAACCTAGAACCCACCTTACCAAAAAACTACTGACCAACCTACAAACTTCCAATCCTCTCAAAAGTCTCAAAAGGTGAGTTTCGGATAGTGACGGCCAAATGACACTTTCTGAAGCACTGAAGCTTGTATTGAAAAAGGTTCATTGATCAAAGCTTTTCAATACAGTCTTTGGTGACATCTGGTGGCCAGAAATATGAAGCGCAGCTTGAATCTACAAATTAAAAGGAACTGCTTCATTATGATTGCCCACTCTACCAAGTTTCTGCCCACCAGCTTCAGTTTAACATCATGTGACATATCCATGCTGTGTTCTTCCTTTTCTTGTGACTTCTTTTTATGACACATGAAGCTTCAACTTCAAACAGACCATCATTAGTATCAAGGCAACCTGCAGCATAGAATAGAAACCACAACGGTCTTGTACAACGCCTGCACTTCAGTGCTGGTGTCAGCGGCACAGCACTACACTGGCTCACCTCATACCTCAACAACAGATTCGTCTCTGTCAGCTGTGCAAACTATTCTTCTTCGATAGCGGCACTGCCACCGTCACACTGCCACCACCATATTTTAATGTTGTTGTTGTTGTTGCTCAGTCTCTTTCTCATGAACACTGACCTTAATTGGCACAGATGAGGCCTGCGGTTCTTGGGATGTTGTTCTGGGGTCTTTTGTGACCTCTTGAAGGACTCGTCACTGCGGTCTTGGGGTAATTAGTCGGCCTGCCACTCCTGAGAAGGTTCACTAGTTCATGAATTACACGACTGTAATTCATTATTATCAGGAAGTCCTAAAAACTCCCTGAAAAGCCTTCAGCTAATCCAAAATGCTGCAGCAAGAGTCCTGACAGGGACTAGAAAGAGAGAGCAGATTTCTCCTGTTTTGGCTTCCTGTTAAATCCAGAATTCAAAATCCTGCTCCTCACATACAAGGTCTTAAATAATCAGGCCCCATCCTATCTTAATGACCTTGTAGTACCATATCACCCTATTAGAGCACTTGGCTCTCGCTCTGCAGGCCTACTTGTTGTTCCTAGAGTATTTAAAAGTAGAATGGGAGGCAGAGCCTTCAGTTTCCAGGCCCCTCTTCTGTGGAACCAGCTTCCAGCTAAGATTCAGGCTCAATCAGGTGACGCTGAATCCCTGAGGCTGTTGGGGATTCCCATGATGCACTGGGTGTTTCTTCTTCACTCACGATGTGTTAATAGACCTCTCTGAATTGAATCATACCTGTTATTAACCTCTGTCTCTCTTCCACAGCATGTCTTTATCCTGTCTTCCTTCTCTCACACCAGCCAATCACAGCAGATGGCCCCGCCCCTCCCTGAGCCTGGTTCTGCTGGAGGTTTCTTCCTGTTAAAAGGGAGTTTTTCCTTCCCACTGTCACCAAAGTGCTGCTCATAGGGGGTCATATGATTGTTGGGTTTTTCTCTTTACATGGAGAAACCTTTGGAATACAAGCGCGCTGATCCACACAGGTATGCACACGGGTGTTCACTGCTCGTAGACCCAAATTACACCTTTCTTGGCTGCTACTTCGAAGCACATCTGTCCTGCGTGCTGCACAACAACATTGAATATTTAGTATTTACTGCTGTTTACACTTAGCTAGATTAATGCGATGGTGTTGTGTTTAGTATGTTGCTTTGGGGGTTTTTTTGTCTTTTTTTGCTTGTTTTCTATTCTTCTCTCAACAGGTGATCCAGGAGATTTTTATTTTTTTTTCTCCCCCCCTTTCTCACTGTCCCTCTCCCCTTCTGTTTTTCCTTTCCTTCCTCTTTCTTTCTCCCTTTCCTATCTCTCACTCATGTCTGTCCCGTCTGTAACATCTGAAAATAAAATATAATAAATAATAAAAACAAAGATCGACCAAATGGACCAATACGGCAATGCCACGATGATCCATCTGGCAAAGTAAATCCATTGGGCATCCTTGTTGGTCTTCAGACAACAATTCTGATGACTAAAGAACCAAATGGGACAGGCGAAAAAAAAAAAAAAAAAAAACACAAATAGATGCCACTCATAAGAATGATTCCATTAGCATTTGTCACAAAAACGTTTCATCTATGGCGCTGTTCTACTGTACCTGAGCACTCACAGTGCTTTATACAACATTCCTCATTTACCCGTTCACACAAGCACTTTAAAAAAAATGCTTTTTCTATCTAACATTCACACACATTCATACTCTGATGTATGAATTGGGATTAGTATCTCGCACAAGGATATTTGAGATGGTGCATCCACAGATCGAAGCAATGACCTGCATTTGGTGAACTTTTGTCTGTTTTGTTTTAAATGCCTTTGTATTTTTGTGCGAAGACCTTTGCGATGTTTGTCTTGAAAGGTGCTATATAAATAAAATTTTAGTAATGTTACTGATCTACCACCTGAGCTAAAAAAGCCAAAGAGTTGATTCTGTTCATGTGGAAGTTTTCAGTGGGAGAAACGTTTCGTCACTCATCCAAGTGACGTCTTCAGTCTGAAGAAGTAAATGAGGGGAGACAGCTGGGTCAAAGAAAGGCCTTTTAAAGGAATGGTTTAATAACGTCGAACGCATGCGGTGTCTGTTAGTAAAGAAAGCATTAATCAAAGCTAAAATGTCTTTGAGAAGTGTTGAACGAATGGAGTCTAGAAGGCTCATTAATGGTTTAGAGGAAGAGATCACTGAAGTTAACACAACAGAGTGAGGACACTTCTTTTTGTGATTCTAGTCTGTGGAAGGCTTTCGAACTGTGTTTATTTACACTGTCAAAACGTCCAGCCCACTGTGACCAAAATATTACAAAATTCACATACAGGAAAAACACAAACCTCATTCAAATGAGTCCTTAAAACAGTTCAGAAATATAGTCAAACTTATGTGTGTAATATAGACATATACTCTTATATAGGACAATGACACAGATGGAATTAGATGGTGAAATATTTATTCACGGTAACTTATTACTTATTTCAAAAATAATAAAATTCTAGTAAAAAAGTAGCCAAACCACCACACTGTCCAATTGTGTCTAAATGAAAGGGAAACAAAATACCCGGACTAAAGGTGCAGTTACAGCCCGTTAAGATGCTCGACTGGCAAAGACAGACACGTTTTCATTTTTAGATTCTTTCAGTATCACAAAGTGTCACGTGGCCCTAAAGTTCCATTTACAGGTTGAAACAAACAAGTGTGTTGTGATTCCATTTATACAGAGTTAAACTGGGATATATAGCATCAGTCCAGTTCTGAAATGTTCATGTAGAGGTGACAGTCCTGTGTTATGCATTAGCTACACAGATTTGAGACACAGCGTTCGAACATCTGCAGCTGAGCACTATATAGCAGAAAAAGCTAAGCTAGTCTTATAAAAACTTCAGAAAAGCAGACATATTAAAGATAGCCAGTGCTGCACCTCAGCCTCATAGTAGATACACTTATGGTATCAATGTGAAACAAGCCATCTTCGTTCAGTCAGTCAATACTTCGTTGTCCCCAACGTCTGCCAGCCCATACTGGCAGGGTGACAATGACGCCGCGTTCACGGCTGCAACATTTTGGAAATCAAACAACAATTAGTTGGAAATTGCTGTAACCCTACTGATGCAACAGCAACACAGCAGTTAGTACATCTTTGAAAACACACAGTCAAACATGCACACAACAGGGCCCTGTACTACGAAGCAAGTCCAGTATATCCCATCCTTTATTCTCTTACTGGAATATCTGAAATCAGGATAAAACTTCCCATCGCTGGTCAACCCGGGATTTCTCTGCACTATCACATGAAAGGGATGGTGTTGCCCGGTCAAACATGGTACGTAAACAGCCAGCAGAGCAGCAGATTTTACAGTGCTACCCCTCAGCCTCCTATGGTATTAATTTCAAAAACCTATGTCGCCTCATTCTTGAGTTATCGCTTCACAAACTTGGGACTGTCGGCAGGGTGACCACAGTCCCCATCAGTCTGATACGGCTGAGAGTTAAGAAGGAAGATAAAAATATGAGAAGTTAAACACATGCAGTAACAGAGGTGCTGTACACTGCTTTAGTATTAAAATTATATGAAGTTTAGCCGATTTGAAACCAGGAAGGAAAGCTGCCAAAACTGCTGACTGTGTAACTTATCAAACTTCTCAATATCACAGCTCTATCATTAAGACATCAGAGGATCTGATGGAATATAATGTAATGAAATGTCTGTTTGAAAGAGTTTTTATTGTATCAGCTGCAGCCTGACAGTGAATAAATACAAGAGCAGAATTCATTTGATACAAACTGAGCAAGTACAACAAGGAGCTCTGTTTTGGGACCATACACTAATCCTCACAGAACTGAAACTGTTTAATTGCAGCGAACATGTAGACTTCACACACTACAAATAATTTAGACCCTCCCAGTATCCACACACAGAGGTCTGAGGGACCGCACAGACTGGTACGTAGGTGGTGATCTGCGATCTCTATCATAACCTCTTTTTATAAGAGGTTAGTTACCATGGGTACATGAGTGATATATACCACGTCTTACTGCACCATCCAAGTAAAGAAAATCCAGGGTTAACCCTGAGATGACCTGGATAAGACCATTTTTGTCTTGACCATCCTGCTTCATAGTAGAAGCCATAGGACATGATGTGCCACAAGTACAAAACAGGCCCCAAAATAACCGGCAGCGTGTTTGGGGCTTGAGTCACTGGTTGAACAGCAGCGCTCGCACACATTGGCAGAAAGACATTTTTCAGAACACTATTTAACCCCCACATGGCAGAAAGTGTCATCTGTTTTTTTAAAGCACGGCATGGTCAGTGACACGAACAGGTAAGTGTGGCGTTCTAAAGTAACAGATAAACATTGGTTGGACTTTAAGTCAAAGAGTAAACGGCCGTCCACGCAGGATGTGGTCACGGTGTATCACTGTGTTGTTGAGAGTCAGCGGCCTGCAGACATTCAGGTTCTCGAGGGTTAACTCCAAACTTCACGCCACCAGCAGCCATCTTGATAGTTGTTGCCTGAAGGTCTCCGTCACTACAAATCACTTCCTATGTGGGTGCCTTTAATAACAGCTGTTTGCTATGAGACAACCAAAACACACACAGAATGCAGCAAACTTCAAACACTACTCTCAAGAGAATTCCAGGAAAACTGCTTTTTTTGGGAAACTGAGTCGCAGCAAAGACAGCAGGAGGCCAGCTTTGTTTAGGCCAAGCAGATACATCAGACAACAGTGCAGAGCAATGGACACTGTCATGACTTCATGCTAGTGAGCACACAAGCCACTAAAATGTGAAAAAGCTGAAGCAGGTTGCTTCACACCTTAATAACAGACAAATGGAGCACCAGAGCAGATATCAACAGTCGTACAGTAAGTCCATTTAAACCCTTTCCCGCTTCGGTCTGTCGAACACGACACAAATGCAGCATGCAATTCTAGTCATTTGCTTCAGCTGGATATTGCAGCACCCACAGACGCCTTCTCACAGTTTTATCCAAATCTCTGCGAGCGTGTTCAGCTGCTGATCGACGCTGACACAGTACAGATTCCCCTGTCAGCACCGCTCACTGCTCAACTCTAGGTGTGTAGTCAGGCCGTCGAGTCTGAATGATCTTTGGTCGTGGTGGGCGGGGCTTGTCATCCTGGTCGCTGTCATCGGGTGCGGAGCTGTCACCGCGTTCGTCGTCGCACACATGGACGACCACGCTGGGAGTGGTTGGTGTTGCTGTGTGAAGCTCGTACTTCCCCCCTAAGAATAAAACAAAAAAAGGTCAAATTGGAGGACGTTTCCCACAGGGCGTGCTACCAAGTCACTGTGCAGCGATGAGGTTTCCCTCTTCAGCGATAGAGATGATGCAAAATGGAGAACAAAGCTGTCACGATCCTGACGACCTGATGATCTCAGGCTTAGATGTCAATGAGGTCTGACATCAGCTGGCAATTTCAAATGTATCAAAGAAACTATTTTAATCATTCAATTTCAGGAAACATTGCTTTTATACATCTGGAGGCAGAATCTAGATGCTTTAGCCACATCAGCCGACACCAACTCCTAACCCATACTACCTTTACTTCTTCTAACTTTGACATTGGTGGTGTGAACATAGCATCAGCATGTGGAGCTGCAACAGGTCTAAATAGTTTTAACAGTCAAATAGTCAAATTTAAAGTAATAGGGAACAGCTTTACTAAGTGACAAACGTGTTTCGGGGTGTGGCCTTCATCGGGGTCATTGAAGGCCACACGCCAAAGCGTGTTGGTCACTTAGTAAAGCCGCCCCTATCCAGTCTTTAAGTCTGACGTCATTAGCCGTTCCCGGGCCTAAACTCTGCTGCAGGTCCCAAAGTCACATGATCACTGCGGCATTACTGAGAGTTAAAAGCTGTCTAAATTCTTTCATCTTTAATAAAATCATCAGCGTTGCTGCTTTACCAGGTGTAACAATTAAGTTTAACATCCAGGCATCCATGAAAACAGAATTTATTACATTTAACAGAGTTAGAAGTTAACCGGAAGTTAGCTCGCTAGCTTCCACCTAAACATGATGTAGCATGTTCTGACTGAGAGATTTCTGAAAAATTCAAACGTACAGCTCTGCTATCACTTCCAACATAAATGAAGACAAAACTAAACAGCAGTGACGTTTGTAGGGTTACTGAAGTTGGGCTAGCTGCTATATAATGATGTGCTACGTGATCGCTAGCGACACAGCTATGTTAGCATAGCATAAACACGGTGAAGCTGGAGGATGAACGCTAACTTTTTTGCTACTCGATAAAAGTTAACGTGAGGGTTCCTGATGGTTAGAGACAAATGCAGTCACATAGCAGGATGCTGTAAACGGACCAAGCTTCAGTCAGGAGAACAACTGAGATAATCCATCCACAATACCAGGTTAGTCACTAATATACTGCTGCATGCGCTGGGCTGTAGTTACATCGTAAGGTTTTAAAAACAGAGCTTTAACATGATTAACGGTAATAAAAACCGAGAGGCCGACAGTGATCACTGACTGTTTGTAGGGGCTTGTAGATTACATAGAACAAGACACAAAGCATTAAAACAAGTTAAAAACACAACAGTCTTAGTGAACACAGCAGTTTGGAAGCAGGATTCGTCACGTCATCACTTAAAGACCGGATTACTTTAAGTGTTGCTGGAGTCTTCAGGTCATCAGATCTTTGTCTTCTCCATGCACCTTGGAAGAAGGTGAAGTTGTGCCAGAAACATTTGTTGGTTTCTAATCCTCACTGCTTTTAAATGTGCTGTGTGTCTATGCTAGCAGATGTGCATGAAGTGTGGGTTTCCCATCACTTCCCTGAGCTCAGTGTCACCCATGTCTCTCGAGGAGCCATTCGCCTGTACGGCTATACAAAGCTGTGTTGCCAGACTTTCACTAACACATAATAATAATAATAATAATAATAATAATAATAATAATAATAGTAATAACAACAACAACAACAACAACAACAATAATGGATTGTGTGACATGCACAAGACTTGTAAGCATTAATTTATAGAACCTCCCCCACATTTCATGAAAGTTTGACCTTGAAGAAGAGGTCAGAGGTCAAAAGTAACGTGATATTTAGAATCCCTATATGTATTCAATAGAAACAAGAGCAGTAAGAAACATAATAAAGTTGTATAGTGCCATTTAAAACTGACTTTTACCTTCAGATCTTTCTATTGCCCATGAAAAAGAGGTCAGTGGTCAAATGTGACATATTTTAAATCTTTAAATCTTATCTGCAATACCTTCTATATGTTCACAATACACTGTTTGTAATAATGATAGTTTCTAAGCCTTCTAGTCAATTATTGACCAATTATCATTAAACTGACCTTGAAGACCTCAGTGTGAATGGTTTGTATCATAATTCAGGGCTCAGCTTCCTGAGTATCTGGAATCTAGTATGCACTGTTGCTCTATTTACAGGATCTCGATCCCGGCCTGGGACATCTTTTCTCTAAGGAGATTGTTTTGTTGTACATGGTCCCTGTTAAATAAAGTGGAAATGAAAATGAAACACTGCAATGAGCACCTACCATAGCGCAGCTCCTTAAGTGCAATAGATGGTTCTTTTGTCCTTTTTAAATCTCATTTTATAGTTTTTCTCTTTATTATTTCTGTTCTTTTCAGTGCAGCAGGGACAGCATTTAATTTTGTTGTACTTGTTTCCGTGACAGTAACGACGCTCTGATCGCGGTGTTGGGTTTTCCCTCTAAACACCACACCTGTCTGCAGTTCTGCTGGCAGTCATTGCTACCTGGCTCCTGACTTTGAGTTGTAGGCGTTGATGTCAATATCAGTGTGGAGACAAGCTCACACACTTTGCACTTGTAATCAGTTGTGATGAATTTATCGAGAATTAAATGAAGGAAGACAAAAAGATTAAAAGAAGAGGAACAGCGTTTTAAATCATGTACCACTCAGCTTCGTTCCAAGCCTGTAAAGAGCCTTCAGTTTGCATTTGAGGCTGCAGGAAGTGTCGATTGTGTTTTACAAACATGTCACACATTCACAGACAGATGGAAAACACAAATCATAATGTGTTGTATACCTGGCCCCAGTTTAGAGATGGCACAAAGCAGGTCATAGTTGATGACCGGTGTGGCGTCCTGAGACTGTTCCCAGCCGACTGGAGGGGAAGCAGGAGGCGAGATCAGGAACTGCTTCTCTGGCTTGGGAGGCTCCAGCCGAGGACTCCCTATGTGCACAGACTACACAGTGCAAAGGCAGGGCAGCACTTTATAATAACCAGCAATATATCACAGGTTTACTGAGACTGTAGCATCATATAGAAAGAAATGGATTGATGATTATGTTTCTGTCTGTCAAGTTTGCTTAAAAACAAACGAACAGTTTCTCATTTTTAGGGTCGTTTCATTCTAGTAGAAGAAGAAAAAACGTTGCAAAGGTTCTACGTTGATTTGCATGTAACTGTCATCGTCCCACTGCTCCAGTGAGAGTACCACCCCAAGTCCCCACAGCAAACATGGAGGTGGAAATCCTATGCTTCTGGGATCCGCCCTACTGTGAAGTGGAACGTCTAATCACTGCCCACTGCGTCATTCACCACAGGGCATTGTGCACCGGTCGCAGCAGATGGCCCCGCCCCTCCCTGAGCCTGGTTCTGCTGGAGGTTTCTTCCTGTTAAAAGGGAGTTTTTCCTTCCCACTGTTGCCAAAGTGCTGCTCATAGGGGCTCATATGATTGTTGGGTTTTTCTCTGTATGTGTTATTGTAGGGTCGACCTTACAATATAAAGCACCTTGAGGCGACTGTTGTTGTGATTTGGCGCTGTATAAATAAAACTGAACTGAAATGTTTATTATTTTGTAGCATTAGAAAGGATGAATTAATCAGCTAGCTGACATAAAGCAAGCTAACAACATTGTTTAGGTAGACAGAATGTAACACTTATAAACTACACTAAGTTATTCTATTCTTATATACATATACAGAGCAGCAGCTCCATTCATATTAAACTGAAGCTAACATGTCAAATTTAGTCTGGAGGACGCTGACCGGTGTCACAATAAGTGAAAGTATGCACATCTCTATAAGAGAAGAACGAACACTGCTATAACACACAAGCTAATGTTCTTCCACAATGTACAAGCTGTTTTTTAGTTATTATTTCAATTTTCATTTATTATTCCAAACTCTGGGACAACCATAGATGACATTCAGAAAGTGAATCAAGAGCTCCGCCTGGTTTAGCGCGTTGAAGGTCTGAACAAGTTACATTCATGTGTCTGATAGATCTCAGCCTACAGATATTACCTGAGCGAAGTAAAGTCTCATTTCTTTGCCGTTGAAGTCCGTCTTATGTAGTCGGAGTCTCGCCTCCGCTGCAGCCAGAGCATCTCTGAAACTGATCCTGATCCGCCGAAACGACTTGAAGTACTGGAACTGCACCTCCGAGTCGAATGAACGGAACAAGGCCTCAAAGCCAGCCTGGAAACACAGAGGAAGCAGACAGCAGGAGGAGACTGAAGTAATGACTGAGATCTCTGAACCATCTTACAGACTTCAACTCTGTTCAGCCCATTTAGCACTTTCTTCACTTTCTGCACTAAAAATATTGAGCAAGAGGCAGTTTGAAGATTCTATGAATAAAGGCACAGACATCTGATCATGCAGACACACTGAAATGATCGATATTACCTAAACGCCTACAGATTAGCACACATTAGTGCAGATGTAGGATTCATCTTTTTCTTAACACTGTTTTATTATCGAGTTGCACCAACAGCTTAAGGAAACTATGTTAAAAAGCACGGCCATGCTGCAAAATCCTCATTACTGTGTTTTACAGTCAGTCTTGGCTGTCATTACACCATCTAACAGTCGAGTTGCTGCATTACTACTGAAAGACCGTTTTTAGAGGGTAGTTGAGCTGGATGCTTGGGTTGATTCAGCTGTAAAATCACGTTTAAGCAGACCTCTCAATAGCTACATTACATGATGAACTGCACATAAAACCTATATACAGTCAACACAAAATGCAGTTGGAAGCTGCTGGTCGAGCCTGGAAGCCAGTAAAGATGCCTCAGGATGCACACAGGGTCAGCTGCAGTCAAATTCCAGGAAATCCTTTAGTGACACCGTACTGTTACCTGCACCTCAGAGTGGTGGAATAATTCCCGGCTGGTCACCGAGGCCACCAGGCAGAACCGGTTACATTTAGTGGTCTTAATGTGCATGACAGGCGACCCGCCGATCCGCAACCTTTTCGACCTGATAACTGAGTTCAGGGTGCGATGCAATGCTGTAACAGTCAATGAAGTTGAGGAAGAGGAGGGACGAGGTTGGAGGACTGTTGCTTTCCCCAGGGTGACGGACAAGCAGAGACAACGGGATGTTCCAAACAGGACCGTGGTCGGGTTCTTCCCCAGCACTGGCTTCACATGCGCAGCAGCAGTTTTCCTCCTTCGGTGCCCACAGTACATCAAGTCCACAACGTTAGAGAGGCAGTGCGGCACATTCCAAGATTATGAAACGAGAATCTAAAGTTAGAAATTGAAAACAACATCTAACATTTGCTAATCTGCGTTTTCTTCTGCTGCAGCTTGTTCCTGTCTCGCTCAGCAGCAGACTGAAAACTCAAGGAATTTTCCAGAGATTTGGGTGTGGAGAGCTGAAAATGTCACTCACACTTTAATCTCTCTCTCTCTCCCAGATCCAAAGCCACTTAAATGAGGCCCTGCCAGCCTATGACGCATTAGCCACAGTCCCCTCCTCTCTTTTTCCTGGTCTCATTCACTGCAGGCCAATCATCGGTGGAAGGAGGAGGGAAATCTATTTTCTTCTCTCTTCCTATTCCTCCACTGACAGATACAACACTGACTAATCATACAGAATGAAGGGCAGTGACTGCGTCTGTGCGAGAGAGTGGGAGACAGAGCTGACATCACTGCCTCCTGATGCTGTTTCTTAGTGGAAACTATGACAGGGAGCCTCACTTTGGATTCCACACGCAGAACAAAAACATACATTCATATCTTTTCTTTGTATATATGACTGAAAGACAGAGAAATGACACAGGTAGCTGGGAGACTGACGCCCAAAGTAAAAAATAAAAGGGGTGAAGGAAGAGTAGAAAGACAGGACGAGTGAGAAGCATGAAGGGATCCAGAGGCAGGTTGATAACATGTTTCTGTGAGGTATTAATAGCAGAGAGCTTAAAGCTTCACACAATGACAGACAACACTGTGACTGCTCATACAGTCAACATCATCATCTTTATTGATAAAGCACTTTAAAACAACCAAAGTGCCGTACACTGGAACTGAATAATACAGTTACATAAGATATCAATTAAAGCCAAATAAAAGAAAAAGTATAATCTTTAGTTAGTTAGATATTAACTAATTTAATTACAAGAAGAACTACGTCTCTCTGAGGCCGAAAGCCAAAGACTAAACATGACGGCTGACATATACAACATACATGACTTTTCATTTCATTGAGGGGGGAAAAAGTCACAATATTTACAAAGATCACCAAGAAGCACTTCGAGTGCAGATGTCTGCTAAATCAAATGACTGACCTTGAAGGAGAGGTCAGAGGTCGATGTTTTGAACAATGACCTTGGAGACTTTGGTAGATCTGAGCCAAATTTGAATGGATTGTTAAGACTCTGAAAAATCAAGTTTACAGACACCATGAAGCTACCAGCAGATTACTCCAACCTGGAAGTTCCAAGCTGAGTAAGCACACGTTTCATTTACGCTGTACAAAGCTAGTAACACACTGATAATATTCACGGGGAACTCAGTGGGACTGTAAAAACAACACTGGACGCCAACTGAATGTTCTTGCTGCTGTTAGACCTCAATCCCCTGATCATCACCGACATCTGTCACACTTGGGGTGGCTGCAGCTAGGTAGAGCAGGTCATCTACTGATCGGGCGGTTGGTGGTTCAATCCCTGGCTCCTCCAGTCTGCATGCCAAATATCCTTGAGCAAGACACTAACCCCAAGTTGTTCTCCGGTGCATCAGAGTCTGAAAGTGTGTCAAGCTTAATTAGGTTACTTGGGTAAGTCTAAATTGCCCATAGGTGTGAACCTGAGTGTGAATGGTTGTCTGTTAGCCTTGCGACAGCCTGGAGACCTGTCCAGGGTGGACCCTGCCTCCTGCCCTATGGTAGCTGGGAAAGGCTCTAGCTGCCCTGCGACCCCGACAGAATGGATGGATGTTGTATAAAGCACTTTGAGAGTAGAAAAGCACTATAAGAATCAGTCCATTTACCATTTAACAGTGGACATGGCTACAAATTTTGCAGTGGAGCAACCATCAGCCAACTACTGTACATGGGTGACAAGCTATAAGCCAGGACACAGACTCACTGATCCACATCACCAGGATGTACAGTGAAGGCATCAGGATGTTATTCAGACTGGATAAGTACAGTCGAATGGCTGCAAAGACAGGCAAGCTCATCCGCACTGAAGCGGTGGAGGAACAACAGCAGATGTAGTACAAAAGCTACACGTACCTGGATATCCCACAGGCCAGTGGGAACATGATGACTATGCACAAAGGTCAGCCACAGTCAGGTACAGCCAGAACGAAAAGCAGGTGCTGACAAGCCAGCTGAATGGTACGAATAAGCTCCAAGCTGTAAATGCATATGTCCAGTGTAGACGGTCAGAAAACGACTACAAGAAGACAGGACCAACTTCACCCCCGATCAGACCTGCACACTATTAGACCTCTGCCTCACCACCACATACTTCAAATACAACGAAGGCTTTTACAGACAAAAACATGGCTGTGCCATGGACTCCCCCGTGTCACCTATTGTAGCCAACCTTTACATGGAGGAAGTGGAAAGGAAGGCTCTTGGCTCTTTCAAAGGAAGAGTACCCAGCCACTGGTACAGATATGTGGACGACACCTGGGTCAAAATCAAGACACAAGAAGTGGAATCCTTCACTGCGCACATTAACGCTGTGGATAAAAACATCAAGTTCACCAGGGAAGACACAAAGGACGACTGTTTGCCTTTCCTGGACTGCGCCGTGCACATTGAAGAGAACGGCAAACTCAACATCGAAGTTTACCGGAAGCCCACACACACGGACCAGTACCTCCTCTTTGACTCCCATCACCCTTTGGAACACAAACTTGGAGTAATCAGGACCCTACACCACCGGGCAGAACATGTTCCCTCTAAGGCTGAAGGAAAAAAGAAGGAACACACACATGTAAAGGAAGCACTCAAAACGTGTGGTTATCTTAGGGCTGTGCGATATGACCAACATCTCATATCCTGATATCAGACATCTATCGTCCTGATAACGATGTAAATCACAGAAATGTCACATTTCCTGTAAAGTCTGTGAATCTCGGGCAGCTCGACTTGCGTGAAGTGTTTCCTGCTGCGCGTCGTGTAGCTGGAGTCGAGTGTTTTAACTGATGCATGAAACGATACATTTTTAGACATAAGTTGTAACGGCGCCGTTTTCTTTGTGAGTATTTATTACACGGCGTGCTGCGGGGAAAAGCCTGTTCTAACGTTTGAGTCTAAGCTTTGTTTTTTAGCACCTGGCGGCTCTTTTTTACTTCTCATCTGTAAATCTGCTCTGTCACGTGATTCAGTTTATTTTGAAAAGTCTCAACAGGATCTTGAGCTTTATTGTGAAAGGTTTATGTGGAACATAAACAAGCGGACACGCGATGGTTTTACCGTCGTTGTTGCTAACGACGACGCATAAAAACAGGTGCTTGTCCGTCTGTAGTGTGGTTATATAAAATATAAGAGAAAGAGAGAACTTTAAGAAATTAATATAGCCCCTACAGTGACCATCAGAACCATGAACAAATATTGCCGTAAACAGTTTATTTTGCGACACCACGAAACAAACGATAGCGTAAAATGAAACGATAGACGTTTTTATATCATCATCCGATATATACGGTTATATCGAACAGCCCTAGGTTATCCTAACTGGGCGTTCTTAAAAGTCAGCAAAGAGGCACAGAAAAGAAGATCAGACACCAGCGAGGGAGGATAAGAAGGACAGACGCAACAACATTGTCATCCCCTATGTAGCTGGTGTATCAGAGAAACTCAGGAGAGTTTTCTCCAAGCATGACATCCCGGTGCATTTCAGACCCAGCAACACGCTCAGACAAAAACTGGTTCATCACAAAGACAAAACGCCAAAACACAGACTTAACAATGTGGTGTTTGCTGTACAGTGCAGCGAG